ACACTTTCTAGAATATGCTAAACCTTTCCGAGAAATATCAAAATTATTCTAGAGAATTCTAAGGAACTCTCTAGTCTTCTTGATTAATCAAGAAGATTCTAGTGTTCTCCGCAAACCTCTCCATAACTCTAGACCCTTTCTCCTCTATCCGGATGTAAAACTTAACTATGATGTGGCGGGACTTGACATCAGTCAGCCTATGAAGTCAACTGAGTACCTTTGTTTTGGTACTTATGCCTCACTCTGCATCTTTTTCGTGATGCAGGTCCTGACACCATCTACTAATGCTTATCATTTGTGTCATCTTTTGCAACGGGTGGATATCAGAGACGAGGGTGAGCACTTAGCATCCTGGATCAATCTGTCTCCTTCTGTATATATTTTAGCTAGTATTTTGTCTTTGAGACGACTTGTTATGGTCCACTTTAGGGAAGGTTCCTAATGTGTATAGTTTTGGTTTGTTCCTGTTTCGCTCTTTTCTTGTTGTTAGTGTATTTTATTTTTAGTATTACCCTTGTAATCATTACTTATCATTCTGGGTACGGGTCGGCTTATTAACTTGTGGGTTATAATGGGAGTCATCAGGTTTCGAAAAGTCGGATCATGACAAGTTGGTATCAGATCTAGGTTCATCGGTACCACTTGTACAGAGCTAACCCCTAATAGAGTCCTACAGATCGGTGTGGAGACGTATGTGTCCTATCTTTGAGAAGCTACATGGTGTCTTTGGGAATTGTTATTCTCTTTTGTATCTCTTTTTTGCGTTGTGTTTTGGTTTCATGTAATCTATGTGGGGGGGTGGGGATGGGGGATAAATAGGATTTTAGTTAGTTAAAATGTCTGTTTGAGATTTCGTTCATAGTCTAGAGATATTTGTGTCTTCTCCTATTAAACTTTACCAAGTCCACGTATGTTACATCACTTATCTTTAAAAATATTGCTAATAGAAAATTGTAATTTACCTGGAGATTTTACTTGGGGATTATTTTCACAAAAATTTCCTACAAATTTTCATGCGAAATTATGAAATTCCTAAAATCTTGACTTTTTTACTTGCAAAAAATATTTCCCTAGAAAATTGGTAGGTAAATTTGGCGCCTTTTGAGAAAATTATTACGTGAGGAATTATTTGGGGAAAATAATTTGCAAGTACCATTTTCATTGGTAAATTGCAAGTAATGAAAAAAAAACTATTTTAAAATTTGTTTGGAAGAAAATTCCTAAATAAACTTATTTCCCGATCCAACTAGAAATAATAACTTAGAAAATTATTTAGAAATAATTTTATATGTGGTATTATGTCGGGATTTATGTTCTATGAATTTTTTTTGAGAATTTATTTCTTGAGGATTTACTTGGGATTTGTTTTTACTTGTAGAATTACTTGGGGATTTTATTATTATGATTTTGATTGGAGATTTTTCGAGGAATGCATACTTGAACTTTTTTAAATATAATTTAATTGGAAGTTTTATTTTAATCTAAGAACTTGTTTTATTTGAAAACTTCAAGGAATAATTTCTTTTAAATATATTTATCCAAATAAAAAATTACAATAATATAAAAAATAATAATGACATTAAAATGAATTTTGTCGTTAAATTTTTACTCCACTTATAGATTAAATAATTATTATACAATGATATCAATCTAATACGGTGTTGGAACAACATTACAAATGTCATTATCAATATTTCTAATTTATCACAAAAAACTAATGTTGAGGTTTATATTTTTTTTCAATGTAAAAGATAGAAAGCATTAAAATTATATGATTGGTTATTTAACGAGTAGTAAAGTAACTATCATAAATATAATTAATTTTGATTTAACATTATTTATATAAAATAATGTATTATTGAATAAGTCAAATATTATATTAAACTATAGAAAAATTTGATGATGTACACCATTGATGTGAAGTTTAATTACCCTTCATTAATAAAATTATATTAAATGAAAAATAAATAAATTTTACTTGTATATCCGATTGATATTTTTTATAAGTACTAAAAAATGACATAATTTATATATAATTAAATGATATTTGTTTGCAAATATACAATTATATGTTAAAGTATAATTATTAAAATATAGATTAAAATTAAAAATACCACAAATACCTAATGTGATGTAGTATCAATTATTAATTATAACTTTATTTCACTTTAAACTTATAAATTTATTTACATATTTTCAATTATTTATTTATAAAAACTTGATATGTATAATTAAATTTCATATGTGTTTAATATGCTTAGTTATGGACATTATCTCATAGCAAGTGTAAATATAATTTTTTCATGAATGTTGGGTGGTAGAGGTTTATTTTAAATATATAAATAATTGTCATTATTCACTTTTAAGAGTTAAATTACATAAATTTTAGTCAATATTTAAGTTATATTTAATCACCATATTGAAATGAGATCAATTAAAAGTACTTTAGTAAAATTTATGAATATTTAAATGGTATTTAAATACTCAATTAAATTAATTAAACTTTGCTTTAGAATAAATCAAATTGGAGAAAGCCACAAAAAATTAGTGTAGTTGCTTGTATCTTTTGTACCACTTTAAAAATATTGATAGAATAAAATTTTAAGGAGCAACTATAAATGAGTAGCCATAGAATCTCGCGGGAACTTGTGAAATTGTACAATGTGGGATTGGACCCATGAAAGTGAAATTGTACAATGTGGGATTGGACACATGAAATTGTATAATGGATGGGTAGTTGCTTGAGATATATGGATTGGTAGGTAAATATATGTATAATAAAACATCCTTCCGTCCATTATTATTTATTAGGGTAAGGTTATGTACTTCTCTCAAGAAAATATTAATACAAGGTATAATCTTGAATTCTTATATTTAGTATATGTGTCAAATAATTATGGACGAAAGGAGTAAATAAATACTCCATTTCAGACCTATTAATTATGAAGTGCATGGATTAAAAAGTCAAGCTTTTTAGAATGTTTTACTTTTTTCAAATTAATTAATTGAGCATATATTATGTTAAAAGAAACTGTTCTTTCTTGATTTGTTAAAATAAATAAGTAATTAGGAATAACTAAAAAAAATTGACAAATAATTAGGGACATAGGAGATAAAAATTCAAGGAGCAACTATAAATGAGTAGGCATGGAATCTCACTGGAATCTCACGGGGACTTGACATTAGAAGGACAATTAAATTCACCCTTATGTATGTATGTGTATATATATATATCAAGCAACTACTCATCTATTGTACAATTTCATGTGTCCATATATATATATATATATATATATATATATATGCGCGTGTGTGTATATATATGTGTGTATATATATATATGTGTGTGTGTATGTATGTATGTATAATAAAATACTCCCTCCGTTCATCAGTTTTGTCAGGGTAAGGTTATGTATTTCCCTCAAGGAAAAATTGAATAAGAGGTATAATTTAACTAATATAATCCTACTATATCAAAAGTCTACATAATTTTTTAATTGAAAAATTGTAATAATTATTAAGGGCAGAATTGGAGAAAATAACTATTTATTTCGTGATTGTTTAAACTGGCAATTAATATTGAACATCTATATTTAGTATACGTGCCAAACAATTGTGGATGGGAGGAGTAAATAAATACTCCATTTTAGCCCTATTAATTATGAAGAGCATGGATTAAAAAGTTAAGATTTTGAAAAAGTTCTACGTTTTTCAAAGTAATTAATTGAGCGTATAATATGTTAAACGAAATTGTTCTTTCTTGATTTGTCAAAATGGACAAGTAATTAGGGACAACTATAAAAGAAAATGTTGACAAATAATTAGGGACATAGGAAGTAGGAAAATTCATTTTGTTGGATATTTTTTGCAAGAAAATCCGCAAGTAATTTACGTGCGGAATTTAAATCCCTAGGTAAATTAGTCCGGGATTCTGAAATTCACATGAAATAATTACCCACGAAGGTTTTACTTTCGGATTCAATTTTATAGAAAAATCCAAATAAAACTTATTTTTATGCAAATTTTTGTATATAATTCAAGAAAAATATCCATGTAATTTACACTTTTCATATAGTGTGTAATACGAATACTTTCTATTTTAAAATAAGTGAATTGTTGAGTTTATATTTCTAAAAAAAAATCTTAATAGAATATATTTGCTCAACAATAGTCAGGTAAAAGTAACTATAGTCAGGTGCAAAGGGGCAATCCAGTGGGGAGGAAGATGGCGAAGTGGAAAATCGCCTTTATTCTATTTCATGAAAATTAATGGCATTTATTCCAAAATCTTTTTCCATGAAAATCCCCTAAAATACCAGACAATAAAAAGTTTCGCAAGATTTGTTTTTAGTCTATTATAAATTTAATTTTAAATTTATGCTTTTTATAAAAGAATTTTGTTTTTATACAGAAAAATCTAAAAATATTTTTTTTTCTAATCATTTTGTAACTAGACATATATTTTATTTCTCTTTAAATAGAATAATATTACAATTAATATAGACGGTACGAGCAGGGCTACTTATTCTATCCAAAAAATATAAATAAAAAATTACTTATCATATATGTTTGATTATTAGTTCAATACAAAAAGAAATAAACCGTCGAAGCATCTAATGCGTTCACACTAAACTTTGTTTGCCAAATACAATTCGTCAAGTCTGAACCACAAACTTTTAAATCCTATCAAGAAGAAGAGAGAAAATTTGTGCGCCAAAATTACAACACATAAAAGAAGAAATAAAAAGAATAGGAAAGAGTCGCTATCGTGGGGAAGATTCCAACTTTTCTCCACATTTGAAAATTTAGGTCTATTAAAGCAACATGGAAAATAACTATAAGGGTTGACAAATGGACTAATCGTGTTGGATTGATAAAAAAAAATAGGCAAGTGAAAACCGATAAAATATTTCATTTATTTATATTTGAGATAAATAAAAATATATATATTATTCATTAGCCTATGAGCTAGCTATTTCTAACATCTCGATCTTAAAAAGAGCTAATAATGGAAAGAACTAAATTGAAAATAGTCAATTTTAGAGTAGTGCAAGTTATTCTTAAATTGTGAGTTTTTGGTCAACTTTAAACGGCCATAACTTTCAGCAAATTATGAGTTAGGTAGCCCATGAGATATAAAATTAAAGGGCATTGAGCCATCTTTCCAGTGTTGCTGAGTTAGCTAAAATCCAAGTTCGGATGAGGGAGATATGTCCGTTTGAGTTCAACTTGTCCAATTAAGAAAACTCATCCGAATTAACGAGGTGCATTTTATTTTTTTTTCCTTAACCCACTAGGCCTGCACGTTTTGTTTGCTCAATTAGGGGTCCAAGCTGATTAAAATACATTTTCACTCAATCTAAAGCGTTCAAGAAAACTAGGGCAATGTTCAAAAGGAGAAAAGATGAGATTTCAACGAGTTCTTCAAGAATTTGGGGAAATTGCCAAGAAGGTGGATCTTCCGAGGTATGTAATTTTTCATGGTGATGGGTTTGTTCACCTTCACATCAATCACAAGTCTTCAAATTTCGAATTCATCCATGAAATTGAGTTTATTGAGTTCTATGAGGTTTGTGCTTCATTCTTTGATAATGGGCTTTTTTGAGGTCTTGGGGTGAGAATCTTGCGAATGAGGATTGGTTTTTAGTGGATTTTCATTTAGTTGTGTTGGGTTAATGAATCTAAGGGAGTTTGGAAGAAATCAATCAATTCTAGGCGAGTTACAGCCAAAAATCAAAGAAGAAATTTCATTGGGTTTGGGCTGGGGCGGCGTGCCCCTATAGCGCCAGGGACCTGGTGCGATGCAGTGCGCCCAGTCAGAACTCCAGTAAATGGGATCTTGGTGGGATGCCTGCAGTGTGCCTAATCAGATCCCGAGTAAATGGAGGCCTGGCGCGATTAGCAAGCAGCGCGTCCAATCACACCTCCAATAAATTGAGGTCTAGAGCGACACGCTAGCAGCGCTCCCGAAGCAGCATACCACTTTATTTCTTTGTTCTCATTTCGCACTTGTTCCTTTGAGTCTTCTTATTCCTAACTATCTAAGACTTCATAAATAATCAATAGATCCTTCATATATCATAATTATATATCTTAATTTCACTTTTCAAATTAAAGTAAAGATTCAGAGTAAAGTTTGAGAAATCTTTGAATCACTTTGAGAAGTGTTTTTCAATCAGTTAAACTTGAATTAAGACTTGAGTAAATGAATATGAGGATGAGGAGAGTTGAGTTCATTTTTTAAAAAAAAGGATATGAGGGGACTAAGTATTATTAAGTATATAACATTTTTACATCTAAAATGAAATAAACATTGATTTCTATATGAGTTTGTGAAGAGTTTTGGGCATCATCTCTTTTAAGAGAAACTATTTGAGTAATTATCTCGAATTGAGGAGGAGCAATGTTTTCTTAACACATATGAGCATGAGTTATATATATATTTTTGAGATTAGTATTGAGCACTGATATATGGGTGAATTCAGACAAGTCAAAGTCCTCATAAATCATGTGTGTTAAGATGGATAAATGATCATACTTTTTAAATGATTCCTTATTGATTTTAAGCTTAGTTAAGTGGACCACTTAGTTGAGAATGTCTTATACTTCGGCAAGGTATATGACACTTCTGGCAGTGTAAGCGAGACATTGTATCATCACGTAACTCATAGTGATCGTTGTCGGTTAGGAATCTCTCAAATAACATAAAAGAGTTTATTATTGTATTTTTACTACATTGAGTTATTATCTACTATTTCAAAAGCTTTCTTTATACTACATCTTTATTGTTGTTTTTATATTGATTGAGTTGAGTATCCTTAAGTTGAGTTTAGTTGAGGTAAGTATGTTCTTCCTTTTTATGAGTTCAAGCTTATGTATGTGCTTTAGAGTTCCCCTTGCATGTTCTTATATTCAATGTACTGACGTCATTTGGTTTGCATTTTTCGTGGTGCAAATACAAGTATTTAGGGTCATCAACAGCTCTCCAATGATGCCACTTACAATTGTAGTTAGTTTTGGTAAGTGTCCTTGCTTCTTGAGGATTTTCCATTTATCATTTTGTTTTATTAGGATGTCGAGGGTTTTATCCCGACTTCCATCACAATATTTTAGAGGCTTCATAGACAGTAAATTTTTGAGAATTCTTTTTCATTTTCATTGATAATATTTAATACTTGAGTTGAACAGTTATGCATGTATTGAGTATTTCAGAGTATTTTGAGTTAAACTATTTTATTAATGATATCGTTAAGAGTTGAGTTTGTTTTGAAATTTTTATATTAATTAAGTCTTCCGTTGAGTAATGAGGAGGGTCAAGGGTTCCGCTAGGGACCAATAATGATTCTTGAGTGTCGGCCACGTCCAGGGTGTAGGCTCAGACCTGACACTATTGTCCTAAGAGAGATGTAGAAATATTGGAGAATTATATTGTTTTATCAAAGGGAGTTTTTAAGTCATTCCTTTTTGTAAGTAGCTTTTTTGAAAATGTTATTTAAAAATGATTTTAGAACTAAATCATGAACTCGATTCTTTTGGTGATATACATGTCAAAGAACATTGTTTCTATGAAGCATCATACTATTATCAACTTGGAGTCATTTATAATAAATCAAGTTAAGCTTGTCAAGATCCTTTGGAATTTCTAACTGACTAATTCGCTAAGGTGAAGTCAAGTCAAGACGAGTCCATTATGAATTTTATAGGTCTAAATAATCGAATGAAAGTTATATGAAGTTACGATTAGATTTTAAGTAGGAAGGAGCAAACAATGAGTAAGTTTTTGTTATGCTATATTATATGCATTCACAGTTCATATCATGATTTGTTACATGTCTTTTTTTTTATTTTACATCTAGTACTCCCCTTAAGTATTAAAGTTTTGAAAAAAAAGAGGGATAAATTTAAGGAATCCCATAGTGTAAATCAATAATTACATTCTGTCCCGACAAGTTTACTAATTACAAAAAATCCCTTAAAATTGCTGAGCCGTGATACTTTAGAAAGTTGTGATACATGGTAAATGATACATAGTAACTTAAAATTGTTAAGAAAAAATAGGGGATAAAAACGGACAATTTAAAGCTGTTACTAAAACAGCTTAAATTGTGGTAACAGATCATTAATCAGCATTAAATCAGCACTTAATTGGATATTAATTTCATAATTTGAAAATCAAAGATTGTATCAGTTATTTAGAAAACAATTGGAGTTGCCGAAATTTTTTTGTTGTTGCAGTGGGTTTTTGAAGATGAATACTTCGATTTTGATGAGACATTCCGGAATTTGGGTGAACGAATTGCAGTATGAAAATTACAAAATTGATGGAATCGTTGTTGGAGATTCAATTTCGTTTTCTAATCTCAAAGCAGCAATTGCGGCCGAGTTGGACATTGATGTATCAAGGAAAGAAATTGAAATTCGATACATTGTAGAAGGTAACTCCTGTCCGATGAAACTTAAGAACGATATGAGTGTTAAACTATATTTTGAACTGAAAAAAAACGAGCCTGGATTTTCAATATATCCATTATTTATTGACACAATTGAGAAGAATAGTGGTACTGTACATAACTTTGATGGAAGAAGTGGAGAAATAACGTGTGTAGAAGGCACAACAAATGATACACAGGCTTTGGCAATAGTTGAAAATAGCTTATTTGAGACACATGAAAATTCAGAAGTTGGAGTTGCAAATGTTATAATCAATTCAGATATTGTTGATGTGAAGACAGGTCAGATATACAAGGATAAAGCAACACTTGTAGATGTGATGACGAAATATAAGATAAAGAACAACTTCAACTGCAAAGTGAAGAGGTCTGATCAACAAAGGTATGACAGTATTTTGATGTTTTAATGTATCATGTGTTGTTTTATAATTTAATTAGTACATGAAACATTACTGTTCTATATGAAAACCTGCAAGTTTCATATGTTATTTTATAATCTAATGTATCATCATTTCAGGAATTTGTTTTTGATACATTGAAATAAGTATATTTGATACTTGAAAGTACTACTACTGATATAGTAAGGACTGTATCATTTTAAACAGTCATATCACAAATAGTGGATAAATTTCATTAAAGTTTGATACTTTTCTTAAAAATTGGTTGATACTTTTGTGTGATTCATTGTTTGATTAATTTAAACATTATTGTTGAATATATTATATATGATGTATTTGATATGTGTATTAATATGCTTAAAAAATGTACGCAGCTATGTGTTGGTATGCTTTTCAGACAAATGTGGTTGGACTATGAAGGCGTCGTGCAGGAAAAAATCTGATATATTCATTGTTAGAAATTTCAATAGTGAACATACGTGTCCGATGAGGGAGAGGGTATTAACCAAAGTCCAAGCAACAGTGGAATTTGTAAGTGGAGTGACAGCTCCAAAATTGGTCAATTATAAACGAATTTATACACCAAGGGATATAATTGATGATATTAGAGAATATTATGGTGTTGAAATATCTTATCAGCAAGCATGGCGTGCTAAAGAACGTGCACTCTCCATGATTAGAGGAAAACCATCTGCTGGATATAGACGGATGCCGCGATACATACACATGTTAAAAACTGTGTATCCAGATTCTTATATAAGAATGCATAAGACTGAAGAGGATGAATTTATGTATCTGTTCATCGCCTTAAGACCATTCATTAGGGGATTTAAATACTGCAGACCAGTAGTTGTTGTGGATGGTGCACATCTGAGTGGAGCTTACAAAAGGACATTTGTATCAGCAAGCACACTTGATGGCGCAGGTATTTTTTATTTATAGTAATGATGTCTTTTTATATATTAAGTATCAAATAATATAATGTGTGTGTAATCAGGTTGCATATTTCCATTGGCATATGGTGTTGTTGACACCGAAAATGATTGTTCGTGGAAATGGTTTTTTGAACAGTTCAAACATGCATTTGGCAATAGAAAAGATATGTGTGTTGTTTCAGATAGAAATGAGAGTATCATGAAGAGTGTAAGGATTGTGTTCCCCGATGTACCTCATTATGCATGCATCTGGCATCTTTGGAAGAATGTATGTGGAAACTTCAAAAGGAGCAGAAAGGCCATAAGTGATCTATTCTACTCTATGGTCAAGGCATATAGAAAGGAAGATTTTGATAAGTTGATGGCTAAGGTTGATAGAATTGATCACAGGGTTAAGGAGTACCTTGAATATGCAGGTTACGAAAAGTGGTCAAGAGTTCATGCAACAGTAAACAGAGGTAGAATGATGACTTCAAACATTGCAGAATGTATCAATGGTTGTCTTGTTGAAGCACGCCAATTAACTAAATTAGAATTCTTGGAAGAGGTTAGAATTCTTTTTGGATCTTGGCATTGCAAAAACAGAGAAGTAGCCTCATACACAAAGGACACATTAGGTAGAAAATTTTTGAGGAATTGTTGATTATAAACGCAGCTAAAAGTTCAAAAATGGAGGTATGTATCATTATATGATACTTTATATTATATATATCTAATTCTGTGTATCATTATGCTTTTTTTAACATGATTTGGTTTTTAAAAGTTATATATTTAAAATTTTTAATGTACACAGGTTGTTCCATCATCTAAGTTTATTTTCTCGGTTTATGAAAATGGAAGAAGATATATTGTTTGTTTTGAGCGGAAAGTATGTTGTTGTGGTAGATTTCAACTAGATGAGATACCTTGTTCACATGCAATAGCTGTATTGAAAAAAAAGAATGTCACCGATATGAATCCGTATTGCTCTGATTATTACAAGTCTGATGCGTTGGCAAAAACATATGAAATTCCAATGGTGCCAATGCCAGACAAGAAAGATTGGTCAGATCCTAAACACGTGGTAGCTGAAACTGTGTATCCACCTAGATACAGAAGATCATCTGGACGACCAAGAAAAGAAGAAGAAAGAATGCAGATGAAAAGATTTCGGTGAACACAAATTGTTGTGGACAATGTGGACAAGAAGGGCACAACAGAAGAACTTGTACTTTCTACCCAAAAGAGAAGTGAATTTGTCGTAATGTTTCTATGATATAAAGAATAATTTATCACGTAAACATTTAAATGAATTTCAGCTTTAATTACGACTGCAAATTGAACACTTTGTGTTTAGATAAATAAACGTACAAACATGTGGTAATTACATTTGAAGTCGTGCTTATGATTATAAATACTTTCTTATTATTGGTGTTGATAAAATACTTGTGTCAATATTTGTTTTGAATATATAAATCTTATGCTACAGTAAGATAACATAATGTACATGATACATATGGTTAATCTAGTGTATCATGTACATTTATTATGTATTTTTTGTACACATTGTTTATATAAAGTATCATGTACTTTTAGTGTGTATCATTGGTTTGCACAATGATACATCTCCATTAGATAAAAAATACAAATATATTGTTAATGTTATTGAGTACTTTAGAATGACTATAAATCATGTATCATGTGAATTTATATAATTTAACTTGTGTAATGCTTTTTTTGATATGCTTTTATTGAAATATACAGTAAATAACTTTCCTTTAAAAAAATAATAGCAATTCATATGAATATGCTATTCAATTTACGTAAATATCTTGTAAAATTTAAGGATTAGAGTGTAACATATTGTACATTATACATACGGTTTGGCCAATGTATCAGTTATTTTTAGTGTGTTTCTGGTACATATGTATCAGTTGGTTTTGGCAGTGTATCATCTGGATTAAATAAAAAATTTAAAAATCTTTATGTCTATGTTTGATTATAAATACTTTGATTATACTTTATTAAATGATTTAAACCTGGTTTTGTCAGTATATTTATTATGTTTATTTTTAATTAAAAATTTAAAAATGTTTACGTCTATCATTTGATATTTATATCTTCAATATAAACAAATTTGTTACGTAATGTGAAAAAAATATTCATGGAAATTGACAAAACCAAAAAAATAACATTAAAAAGGATAAAAATAGTTGTTCAATAACATATAAAAATAATAAATATAACATTAAAACATTGTTTTATCATGAAATGCTACGCTATGTGAACTAAATCTTCTTCTGGTGGTGGTGTGACTACGCCCCTGGATTTTGGTGGATCATCATTGTCGCTAACATATCCGCACTTAGCCTTCTCACTTCCATAACTCCACAGCAATGCTCCATATCTTTGACGCAGGTAATCAGGATTAAAATCAGCATAAGATATATTGATTTGGTCACTGATATACTCGGCAAATGCAGTAACATATAACCCACAGTCTCTACAAAAAATACAGAATAAATTAAAAACTTAATGATACATTAAAAAGGGCAACTGAAAAAATTCTTGATACTTACAGGCTATCGCTTTCCTGTGTAGGGATGTCTTGTGCAAATTCTATCATGAAAGGAACTTGAGGCTCCAGAAGTGATCCATTATTGTTGTCTTTATATGCTTGACAATCAGCAAATTTTGTGCGTTCATTTTCTTCAAAAAAACCACTGTCAAGTAGGTATGAAGGAAGCATTTTAGACAACATCTTGATCTCATGAGGAATTGTTTGTTTCCTTGTGCTAATTGATGAGTCAAAAACCCTTATCAACCTGTTTTTCAACTCAACAACAGCCAACACCCAATGGAATTGTTGATCACAGTTAATTGGGATGTAGACCTCATCTACAAGATGCCATGGTAAAGCAGCTGGTATTCCAAACCCTTTGATGATGTTAATTATTGACCTCTCATGTACAGATACAACTGAAGCGCGATCAATATGTTCTTGTGTAGTAAGACTATCATCATCATCGTCCATGTAATATCTATCATAACAGTTTTTTACATGTGACATGAACAAACAGTGGGTTGTTGTGTATCTGTATTGATCCATGCTGCAAAGTTTTGATTTTTTACGAAGGTAGTAAAAAATCACATCGATGTGCTATAAACAAAATGAAAACAGAGTAAGAAATTATTTACATCTAAACAATATAAAAAAAGAAATATAATTATGTGAATATAGTATGATACTTTTGCAAATTAAATAGTATGATACTTATACATAATGTATCATTGCTAATTAAATAGTATGATACTTATAGATAATGTATCATGATGTTATAATATAGTTATGACTGATACATATTTCATAAATAGTTTAATATTTTACCTCATCAGACCAACACTTGTTTGGCTGTGACATGGCATAAAACCAATTCTTGTTCATTGGAAAAGCAACAACAAAGTCCATCATCGTAAATCCAAAAGAAGAAGATCTTGATCTGTATTTATCGTCCGATGGGTTCCTGCATATATGATACATAAGTTTTCAATGTATGTACATGATACATAACACTCAATTATTTACAGTTTTTATATAACAAAGTATAATGAATTAGTTGTATATAAAATGATTACGCCTAACACTGAGAAAAAAAATGTATAAAACTTACTTATTGTTATGATTTTTTAGAAGCCCCCTCAACAACCAATTCATGTAATCCTCAATCAGTTTCGGTGAAACTTTATCTGCAATGCCACATCCTTCGAACGGGAAATGGAGTCGAGCCATATCCTTCAATTTCTCTATTCCCTTTTCGCTTGACCCAAAAGAAGTACAATATGGATATTGAATCCTTCTCGAAGGCATTCTATTTCTATGCGCAGGAGTGACTGCATCAGTTTTAACAGCAATCTCCGTTATTGGAATTTCAGTGGGTAATTGACTGTCGGTCAACAAGTACTGGCTGCTAGTTATATTCTTTGGATCGTAAGAATATAATGGTCTAGCATTGGTAGCATCTTTACCCAAATCTTTGATAAGCGCTTCTATTGCTGCTTGAGTTGATGGCGATATTGTTGTTGAAGTTGAAGAATCCTGTATAATATGATGTAATGATTTTTAGAATAAATTTGTGTGTAATGAAATTGTGTGTCATAAATCAAAATTGAAAAATGTACCGATGAATCTGTTGTTGTTTTTTCGGGCAACACATGAGGGATGTTGTGATGAACATTGTCGTCAACGGCTTGGTCCATGATATGTTCATTTAAATCTTGGTGCGACTGATGTGCGTCACCATCCTGAATATGCAGTTTTGAAATAAAAACTGTTAATATAATTTGTGCTGATACGTAACATTGATAACAATCACATGATACATAGTATTGATTAAATATGAATGATACATGACAGAATATAAAATGAGAAAAAAAATGATCATGATACAAAGCATTGACTATATGTGCATGATACACAACATACCCACTTTATCATAAACATTACCTTTGGATCAGTGACTATTGGTTCACCCTCATTTACAGCAACACCAACACCATCCACATCGACATCCCCTGCATCGTCGACGATATGATGCTCACCATTTTTACCAGAAAAACCACCACCATCCTCAGCTACACCACCCATATCATCGAGATCAACCGGTATTTGCTGAGATGTTTGTTTGTCAGACTGAAATGTGCTTGTATCAGCCTGAAAATTGATGTTCTCTTTGCTAATAGATTGCATCGGCTGGGAGTGATTTGCTTTTATCAAAATAATCAATTCCTCAAATTTCTTGTCAACCTAAAAATTGTAGATACATTTAGGATAAATAAAAGTTTGTTTAAAAATTACAAAATAATTTACTTACGTAAGTTTTCAAATATCCTTTCAACTCTTCAATATGAGGAATTATATTGTTGACATTCTGTGAATCTGCATATCCATGAACATCAGCAGCCGGGTTCTGAGAAACGTCTGGAACAGAACCATGTACATCAGCAGCCGATTTCGGTGACACTTGTGGAACAGAACCATGTACATCATCAGCATTCGAATGTTGAGGCAGACTTGACATGGAAACATGTACATCATCATCCGGTGTTGGAGACACATTTGATTGATCAGGCTGTTTCTGTTCTGACACCTTCTTTTTTTGAATAATCGATTTTTTTCTTCTTTTTGGCGGTGGTGGAGGAGATGTATCAGACACTCTAGAATATGTCCTCAATAACTGTTCTGGCGGTCTTGTGGAGAAATCATCTAAATCATCTTGCTCGTTTGGTTGTACTAATGGTATTGATGTAGAATGAGTATGTTCAACTTGAGCAATATCAAAAGCTTCAATTTCCTCTGCTGTTGGGACAATGTTTGAACATGCATTCTAAATGTATCACAAACACATAAGATAATTTAACTGTTAGATACAGTAACAAAGACATAAATAACGATATTCCATATACAAAAATAAAATTTTACCTTTTGGAAAATGGTGGACATAAGCATTTCAAACTTTGCCTTTTCAGACACAACTCTCCAATTGCATATTCTTGGGATGACATTGCGTTCTCTCACAGCTATTTCTGAATTTAAATTGGATGCACATTCGTATATCCAAACATTTAGTGCATATGGCATCCCATATAATCGGTACAACTTTTTACTAACGTCAAAATCCTGTCTAAGTGAACCAATTAGTTTGGAAAATGATAGCTGACCCCAAGGAAAATGTTGATATCTACCATCTTCAACCATTAGAAAGTCGACAATAGATATCGCTGTGTTATCAATAGAAGCTAATACAAATGTATGAATAAAGAACAGTATAGACATTTGGAGTGCATCCTGATTGCTCTCCCAATTACCCATCTTAAACCTTTGAACTAGTTGATGCTTTATAACACTATTGACTGCACCAGGGAAATACTTTTTAAAAAGCATACAATTAGTTTGTTCTGGGTATTTGAAATCATTGGTATTTCCTCTGACCTTAAGTCCTGTTAATAATGCAAAATCATCTATACCAAATTTCAGGACACACCCGTTGGAATGTCTAATATGCAACATATTAGGGTTGCTTTGTTCCAATTCTAAAAGCAATAAGCACTTAGTTATTTGGCCCTGAAAATTACATTTAGATATGTCTAAAAAGGGTCCAAAAATTGTATCCTTAAACATTTGGATAACATTATCCCCCACGTATTTTTCAAAGTCCTTTAGGAAATTGTTGTTAAAGTTGACAGCAAACCTTATGGGATGTGTTGGTATCTTTTTAATCTTGTACTTCAGTGGCTGCAATTTGAAAATAAAACCGCAAATTAAAACGATATAGAAATATAACTACTAAATAAAACAACTAATAACTTAATGATACATGGTTTCAGTTTTCAGAATTTCATACTATATGAAAAACATGTGATACATGTCTATAACATGTATCATTGAATTAAATAAAACATTATAACATGTGATACATGTCTAATACATGTATCATAAACAGCGACTAAACAACATACACAAAGAATCTATATGTATCATCAACTATATCTGATTAAGCATTTATTAAACTTAATGAATGATACATTATAACAAGTTTCAAAACATGTATGAGTAAATCAACTAAACAACTAATACCTTATTGATACATGATATCATACAGGAATTCATACTACATGCAGAACATGTGATACATAGCTACTACATGTATCATTACATTTACTAAACAATGTACACACAGATTCAACATGTATCATCAAGCACAGATTATACTTTACTACACTTATTGAATGATACATTATAATAATTTTCAAAAACCTAATGATACATATAAAATATTATGAAACACAACAAATTCACGTATCAGTTGACCATCTAAAACACTATACACCCTTTTTAAAATGTATCAGCAAGCACACTTGATTCCTTAAAAATTTTACTAATTTAAACAACACCATTTTTAAGTACCAATATACTAACCCGAGACAATGTAGGCCTAACAACAGTGTTTGCTGCTTCTTTTTTCCTTTTTGGTTGTATTTTTACAACCTTTGATGTTTCGCCATGGTCTTTGTTTGAATCCTTTTGAAGATTCATAGGATCATGCAAAGACTTTTTCCTATTTTCTTTCCAATTATCATCATCGGAATCATATATCCTTCTATTGATTGACGGATCCATTACCATGAAGTAATAGAACAATTAACAAAAATGAAAAAGAGAAGAATATATGAATTGATGATGGATTAACTATAAAAAGGGTCTGGGTTCTTACGATTCAATATTAGGAAGAAATAGTCGAATATGGATTAAGAATAAAAAGAAGAAAATAGAAAAATCTGCTGGGTTGAGAAGATTCAAAGTTATGAAGAAATAGTGGGATGAAGACGATTAAGGAAAAAAAAAGAAGTGCAAGGTGACTTTGGTAAGAACGGTAGAATGCAGTGGAAGTTACCCTGCTTCTATATTTTTTGAATTTTGAAATTCAAAATTTCAAAATTTGTTCTTTTATTTAAATTTAATTAAATTTAATAATTCAAAATTAAAAAGCTGATTAAAAGGTTGAGTGTTTAAATGGAAAAAATTTAAAATTCAAAAACTGATTTAAGAGGTTGAGTGTTTTAATGGAGAAAAAATAGGCATTAAAATTGGTAAATGTGTATTATAGGAGAGAGAGTGTAATGTATCTAAAAACTTATACTAAAATAAAAAAAATAGGGAATTATGTAATATTTAAAAAAAGTAGGGAAAATTAGAGAATATAAAAATTATAGTTGTGTATTTTAAGTTATTTTTACAAAAAAAAAATTGGTCGGAAAAATCTTTTTGATTAGAAAGAGATTTTTTTTATGTAATTTTACTTTTTAAAAATATTTTTATTCTTTTATCTTTAATACTTTTAATACAAAACTGAAAAACGATCAATTTATTTTAAAATAAAAAAATATTATAATTTTTAAATTCTTTTTGCTATTTAGTACTTCTGCAAAGTTTTTACAATGCATCTATCCAAGTTCAAGACTAAAAACTCGTGTCATTATATAAAAAACTTTCATATGAAGATTCTTATCAAATGATAAAGGGAAAACGTCAAATATGTCCCTAAACTATTCGAAAAGGTTTAGATATACCCTCCGTTTAAAGTTTGGTTCACTGATGTTCTTGTCATCCAACTTTTGGTCCAAATATGTCCTTATAGACGTTAGTTGTCATGTTGAACATATCTAACTTATTTTTAATTTCTTCAAATGCCACATGGATTTGTTATGTCATTTTGGCCTTACCACATAACATTTATATGAAAATGGAAAGATATTCGAACTTATAAACACCTAATCTGACCCATAAATCAACCCCCTTTTAAATAAATTATCCGACCAACTTTCAACAATTTTTATTTTTTTTGATAAATTCCAAAAATGAGTAATTGATTAATAAAAAAAAAAGAAAATATGAAAAAAGAATAAAATTAACGCCAAAAATTCATAGATAATTATACTAACCTTAAATTCAATTTAAACACTTTTTTTTGAAAAAAATTATTTTTTCGATAAATTTCGAAATGAGTAATAGATTAATAAAAAGTATGAAAAAGATATAAAATTAACGCCAAAAATTAAAAAATAAATACATTAACCTTAAATTCAACAATTCAACATTTTTCAAATTTTTAATATTTTCGACAAATCCCAAAAATGAGTTTATTAACAAAAAATATGAAAAAAATATAAAAATTACGCAAAAAATTGAAAAATAAAAAATAGAAAAATATGAAAAAAATATGAAATAAAAAAAATTGCTGAAATTATTGAATTTAAGTTTGCTATATTTATTTGTGAATTTTGACGCATATTTTTTATTTTGTTTTCATATTTTTCCCTTTTTATTAAAAAATTACTCATTTTCGGGATTTGCCAAAAAATATAAAAATTTTAAAAAAATTGTAGATTGAAATGATACTATATTTATTTTTGAACTTTTGGCGTTAATTTATATATTTTTTTTTCGTACTTTTCATATTTTTTATTAATGAATTACTCATTTTCGAGATTTATCAAAAAATAAAAAATCTAAAAAAATTGAAATGTTAGATTTGAGGTTACTATATTTATTTGTGAATTTTTGGCGTTAATTTTATATTTTTTTCTATTTTTAATAAATTATTCATGTTCGAAATTTACCGCGATAATAAAAATCAAACAAAATTGTTAAAAATGGGTCGGATAGTGAATTTAAAAGGAGCTGATTTATGGGTCGGATAGGTGTTTATGAGTCCAAATATCTTTCCATTTTCATATAAATGTTATGTGGTAAGGCCAAAATGACATGGCAATTTCATGTGACATTTAAAGAAATAAAAAATGAGTTGGATATGTCTAACATGGAAACTAACGTCCATAAGGGCATATTTGGACCAAAAGTTGGACGGCGAGGGCATGAGTGAACCAAACTTTAAACGGAGGGTATATCTAAACATTTTCGAAGAGTTTAGGAACATATTTAACCCTTTTTCCAATAATAAATAAAAGTTTGATTTATTAACAGCAAAAAATCAAGACCATTTCATCGAACACTAAATTTAAGAATTCAACTTTAAAACCAAATAAAAAAAATTCTAAAGTTGACCTAAAGAACCAAATTAGTTCTATCTGATTGATTATTTAATATTATGTCTACAACTAATTGTGACATATCACTAATTGTAATTTTTTAGCATAATATTATAAAACCCATAATCGGCACAAGGGCTAAAGGGCAGAGTAGAGTGTTTGGGAGATTAATGTATTCTTGGTTGAAATTATGGATGGCAAGGCCAAGAGAAATGGCCATGTTTTAAGTTTAGTGGTGGCTAGGGTTTACATGTATACTCCGTAGAGAGGAAGAGTGTGTTGGGTTTTAGCAAGTGTGAACGGGAAAAGAAAAGAGAGAATATGAAAAGTGAGGGAACTACTTTAGAGGGAAAATGAAAAGTCATTTGCAAAATACAAATGAAAAGTCATTTCTCCCATATCGGCAAAAGAAATGGAAATTGCTGTCCTTATAGAAGGAAACACTTCCATTACTTCTTAAAAGAGATAATAAGAAGATGCCCCCTCGCGCCGTCGTCGCTCGGCTTTGGCTTTGGCTTTGGCTTATGATTTGATTGATAAATTTTTTAGACAAAATTTATTTAATCAGTTTTTGTTGAATCAAATAAATCCTGTTAATATTATCTCTTGTATCGAAAAGTTGTTATTTTTTCCAAAAAACACAACTTTCTGGATAAAATGGGACTGAACAGATTTCACTGAACAGACATGTTCCTTGCTGAAAAATGGCTATAAAAGGAAGTCAATTTTTTATTTTTCAAACACTAAAATTTTTTCTTTCTCTGCATTTAGTTTTTCTCTCAAAATAAAATCAAAGTGTCGATCAACCGAGTCTGTGTGACTTGTTGCTGTTCTTCAGTTCGTTGAAGTTAAAGAAGTTTGAGGTACCGCTATTTCTTTAACAGGTTAATCCGTTTTATCTTGGGAGAAATTAATCCATAACCTTGGGTACAGTGAGGGGATTAAATTTCTTAAGGACACACAGTAGTTTCTGTGGACTCGGATTAATTTTTTTTTTAAAATTTTTTCTGCTTCATCTTGTTTCTGTTTCTATTCATTAACTTCATAAATACAAAGTTATTGTAAGAATAACAATCTTAAGAAATTTAACAGTTTCTGTATTTGAGGTTTCTGGAGATTAAAAGCTTTATGGTTTTCTACTCTGCTTGAATTTTTAAAATTCATTCGATTAACGATTAAAAGAACATAAAAACTTTATCGTTAAATCAGAAACAGTTTGTGTAAAGATTTGTTCTTTACTGTTAGTATTTTAAATACTTAATTTATCTGCCATTTGTTGACACAAAAAAAATGACTAATTCAAGTCAAACAAATGTTGGAACAGTAAGTGCTGCAACAACAACGGTTGCACATAATCGTTCAAATGCTGCCTTAGCACCGACTGAGAAACCTGCAAAGTTTTCTAGAGTCGACTTTAAGAGATGGCAGCAAAAGATGTTCTTCTATCTCACTACGTTGAGTCTGCAAAAGTTCATTAATGAGAATGTTCCTGTTGTGTCAGATGAAACTCCGGCTGATGAATGATTCTTGGTAACTGAAGCATGGACACACTCAGATTTTTTGTGTAAAAATTATATTTTGAGTGGTCTGCAAGATGATCTGTACAATGTGTACAGCAATGCCAAAACCTCAAAAGAACTCTGGGGTGCTTTAGAAAAGAAGTACAAAACAGAAGATGCCGGAATGAAGAAATTCATTGTGGCAAAATTTCTGGACTATAAGATGATCGACAGTAAGACTGTCGTCACCCAAGTTCAAGAATTGCAGGTCATAATCCATGATCTCCTTGCTGAAGGTATAAATTTATTTAATGCCTATGTTAGAAATATTAAGTTTTCCCTTAATACTCATATAACCTTTAATGTAGGATTGATTGTGAATGATGCTTTTCAAGTGGCTGCAATTATTGAAAAGTTACCTCCATTGTGGAAGGACTTTAAAAACTACTTGAAACACAAACGCAGGGAGATGACTGTTGAAGATCTCATAGTAAGGTTGAGAATCGAAGAGGATAATAAGGCTGCAGAAAAGAGGT